GGGGTGTGCCAGAATGGGGGGTGGAACCGCATGCGGGCGCAGCCACTGGGGCCTTCGGTGGAGCTCCCTATGGGGCCACGAAACGTGTGAGGGGTGTGCCAGAATGGGGGGTGGAACCGCATGCGGGCGCAGCCACTGGGGCCTTCGGTGGAGCTCCCTATGGGGCCACGAAACGTGTGAGGGGTGTGCCAGAAGGGAGGTGGAACCGCATGCGGGCGCAGCCACTGGGGGGTGGAATGGGGCACGTGTCGGTGCCAGAATGGGGGGTGGAACAGCCACTGGGGCCTTCGGTGGAGCTCCCTATGGGGCCACGAAACGTGTGAGGGGTGTGCCAGAATGGGGGGTGGAACCGCATGCGGGCGCAGCCACTGGGGCCTTCGGTGGAGCTCCCTATGGGGCCACGAAACGTGTGAGGGGTGTGCCAGAATGGGGGTGGAACCGCATGCGGGCGCAGCCACTGGGGCCTTCGGTGGAGCTCCCTATGGGGCCACGAAACGTGTGAGGGGTGTGCCAGAATGGGGGGTGGAACCGCATGCGGGCGCAGCCACTGGGGCCTTCGGTGGAGCTCCCTATGGGGCCACGAAACGTGTGAGGGGTGTGCCAGAATGGGGGGTGGAACCGCATGCGGGCGCAGCCACTGGGGCCTTCGGTGGAGCTCCCTATGGGGCCACGAAACGTGTGAGGGGTGTGCCAGAATGGGGGGTGGAACCGCATGCGGGCGCAGCCACTGGGGCCTTCGGTGGAGCTCCCTATGGGGCCACGAAACGTGTGAGGGGTGTGCCAGAATGGGGGGTGGAACCGCATGCGGGCGCAGCCACTGGGGCCTTCGGTGGAGCTCCCTATGGGGCCACGAAACGTGTGAGGGGTGTGCCAGAATGGGGGGTGGAACCGCATGCGGGCGCAGCCACTGGGGCCTTCGGTGGAGCTCCCTATGGGGCCACGAAACGTGTGAGGGGTGTGCCAGAATGGGGGGTGGAACCGCATGCGGGCGCAGCCACTGGGGCCTTCGGTGGAGCTCCCTATGGGGCCACGAAACGTGTGAGGGGTGTGCCAAAATGGGGGGTGGAACCGCATGCGGGCGCAGCCACTGGGGCCTTCGGTGGAGCTCCCTATGGGGCCACGAAACGTGTGAGAGGTGTGCCAGAATGGGTGTGGGAGGGGGAGGAGGGGGGAGGAAGGGGAGGAGGAGGAAAGAGGAGGAAGGAGGAGCGCGGGGCGACGTCTCTTCAAAACGAGGACCCAACACCACAGGATGGTTGGGAAAAACAGTACGCGGGGGGGGTCGGCTATTCCCAGCACGCCATCAGGGGAAGAGGGAGAGTAGTATTCATACTGAGTAATTGTGTAGGAGGAGGAGGATCAGGAGGGGGAGGAGGAGGAGGAGGAGGAGGAGGAGGAGGAGGAGGAGGAGGAGCAGGAGCAGGAGCAGGAGCAGGAGCAGGAGCAGGAGCAGGAGCAGGAGCAAGAGCAGGAGGAGCAGGAGGAGCAGGAGGAGCAGGGCTCGAGCGAAACGGTGTTTGGGGGATTTCGTGGGCCATTGTCGTTTTGGCTTCGTTCCGCAGCAGCGGCGGAACGCAGACAAAACGAGGGCAAACGAAGACAAACGAGAACGGAACACATCGTTTAGCTCGAGCCTTGCGGAGGAGCAGGACGAGGAGGGAAGAGGGAGGAGGGAGGAGAGGGGGGATTGGACCAAGGTGGTGGTGGTGGTGGTGGGTGGTGGTAATAGTGGTGGTGGGTGGTAGTGGTGGTAAGTGTCGCTGCGTCCCCGCCGTCGCCGCCGCCAGCGCCGGCGCTGGCGCGAGGGGGGGTGGGGTTTGACCCCCCCCCCCGGCGCCAGGGGGGGTGGGTTGAACCCCCCCCCGTGGGCTGCCTCTGGTCATCGTCGCTGCGTCCCCGCCGTGAGCGCTGCTGGCGGCCGCTAGCGCCAGCGCCGGCGCCGAGGGGGGGGGGCGTTCGGGAAGGGGGGGGTTTTTGGGGGGAGGGGAGTCCCCCTGGTTTTGATCGACGGCGCCGAGTGTTGGGGGGGGGCCACCCCCTGGTTCGAAACGCCTCGCCGAATGCTCCCCAGGCAAGCGCCCGTGAAACGCGTTCTCTCCCCGGTATGGATCCCAGTTGTCTTCACGCTGATGTTACCGAGACATAGCCGACGCTGCCGACGCATCGGCGATGCATCGACGATGCATCGATGCGACGGCTCGATTTCTCCGTCCCCTCGACTCTTAGATCGGGCATGTCCCCCCACAGGCCGATTTTAGACGAAAAATAGAACGTCATAAACAATTGCACCAAACTTGTTAAATAAATACTAATACATCGTCTCCATTTTTTGACTATTTTTGAGTATCCCTCCTGTAGAGGGACAGAGCCGATTTAAGTCTACTCGGACCCAGTTCGGGAGGCCTTTGGACGACACGATGTCTGCTCAACCCTCGGCGGGCTCGGCGCGGCTGCGTGCGCGACGCCCACTCCGCCGAGAGGCCGTGGAGGAGGGCGGAGCCACGAAGGACGTGGTGCTGTACGACTGAGCCCGCGGCCTCGCGCGGCCCGGCCTCCATCGCCTCCTCCCCTTTCGGCGACTACAAAGGGTGTGGTTACGCCAGGGTGTGGTTTGCGATCGGCACCGTCGGGGCCTGGGGGGTATGACACTGTCCTCGTCGGGCCTCCCCGAGGTGCGGCGGAGAGCTCTGTCGAGGTCCTCGCCCGCCCCCCAGGATGCCCCTCAGGGTGCTGGTTGCAAACCACACCCTTTGCAAACCACACCCTTCGGAGTCGCCGACCCTTTCCCTTCACACTTCCGCGCCCCCCTCTCGGCGGCGAGCGAGGGGGGAGAAGTGAGAAGGCGAAGGCCCTCTCAGAAACTTGGCTGCCCTGATACGTCTGGAGGGTTTCTCCGAAGGGCTTAGGCGACCCGTCCTCCTCCTCCTCCTCCTTCTCCTCCTCCTCCTCCTCCTTTTCGTCCTCCGCCTCCTCCTCCTTCCTCCTCCTCCTCCTTCTCCTCCTCCGCCTCCTCATCGTCCTCCTCCTCCTCCTCCTCCTCCTCCTCCTCCTCTTCCTCCTCCTCCTCGTCCATCTCCATCTCCTCCTCCTCCTCCTCCTCCTCGCCCTCCTCGCCCTCCTCCTCCTCCTCGCCCTCCCCTTCTCGGGTCGCCTACGGCCCCAGGGGGAACCGTCCATATACGCCCGTGTTGAAACGTAACACGTACCGTGTTCTACACGACCGTGTTCTGCGTGTAGCGTGTTTCGTATGAGGGCTGCCAAGGCGAGAAGGAGAAGGCCCTCTCAGAAGTCGGCGGGGTTTCTCAAAAGGTCTCCGGTCTTCTGCGAAAGTTTCGGTGTCTTCGGGGAAGGCTCAGAAAACTTGTCAGAAGGCCCTTGGACTTCCGAGCCTTCTGAGAAGACCCGCCCTTTCTCACTTTCCCTCCAGGCTTCCCCCTCCCCCCTTCCGTGAGATCCAGCCGCCGGAAACAAGCCGGCGTTTCATCTTCGTCGTCATCGGCTTTCGGAGGCCGTTTTCCGGCCTCGGGACTGTCAAAGGGCATCTCAGGAAGGCCGGCCCCAGGGAAATGGTCGAAGTCTCAGCGGCGACGTCTGAACAAATTGCGACGTTGGAGGTCGGCTTCGCGTGAGATCGGGCGTGTACGCCGGAACTCGGGTTCGCCTATACGCTTCTCGACGAGCCCGCTCTGAGTTTCGACGGTGCAGTTTTCGTGGGATGACTGCAGCGGGGGACCGCGTCAAATTTCAGACTGGGTCGCGCCATTTTTATGACGGCCTCGTCGGGCCAACCCGGGTCCCCCTGACCCGAGCCTCACGTCTTTGGAGGCCGTAAAGGTGTGTGGCATAAAGGGGTATTAGTGCCAATCGTGGAAATTGCGATGCTATCTGCGATGAATCACATCGCCGGAGTCCCCTTTACATGAAGTTAACACAACAGTCCTTCATACCATACCCTTCTCCTGCCTCCAGAACGTCTCCCCGATAAGAGTGGCCCCTCGCTGGAGTGATCTCCAGTGCGGGCTCACAGGGGCCCCCTGGCACCGGCCTGCGCGCTTCGACTTGGCCTGCCCGCGGCCCCCTGAAGCCTCGCACCACATGTCACTCTTGCCTTAAGTCGGGCCTGTCCCTCTACAGGAGGAATATTCAAAAATAGTCAAAACATAGTTTGGGGATGTTTTTTTGGAGCAGTTTTTGGTGAGAATATTTTTTTACGATTTTGAATTTCCATCCAAAATCTGCCTGTAGGGGGCCATGCCCGACCCAACTCTTGCCTAGAGTAGATCTTGCGTGTAGTCGAGGAGGAGAAGCGGGAGCTCCGCTCTACAACTGCGCATCTTGAGTACTGCCTGCTATTCTCTCTCCCTGGACGCTTTGCGGAAGATCGCCTGCTCTATCCGCGTACTGTTTTTCACCAGATTTTGAGCATGTTTTTTCTTATGGTTGTGTTGCGACCCGATTGATTGCTATGAATGTTTCAAAATTGTGTTCACGCTGCAACAAGGGCCTCATTTTGGATCGGCGCTTTGCTCCCATCGGTCAGAATGGAGATCTCGCCCTAGCGCGTGCCACTTGTCTGGATCCGAGCCCTTTTTCATCGTTGTCGCCCCCCTCCTTTCCCCTCATCCTCGTTCTCCTGGTCCTCCGGCTCCTCCCCTTTCTTCCCCTCCTGTTACTGCTGATGCTGCTGTGCTCACTCGTCACATCCTCCTCCTCTTCCTCCTCCTCCTCCTACCATGTACGCAGCTCCCCTTTTCCGATTGCGCATAACACGATGGTGTCTTTGTTGACGTCCCCGGACGGCAATGACGCGCGTCCGCGGGTGAAGAAAAAACCATCGCAATGGGAAGGGATGGGAGGAAGGGGCAGGATTTCGGATATGAAGCAAGCACATCGGCGGATTCCTGGGCGCCCTGGATAGACTAGGGATGAAGGTGCGGGGGCTCGTTTTGAGCAGAGGTTGGTGGGGGCCACGGGGAGGCGGAGGAGGAGGACGAGTAGCAGCAGCAGCAGCAGCAGCAGGAGCAGCAGCAGCAGTAGCAGCAGCAGGAGCAGCAGCAGGAGCAGCAGCACCATTGGGCCTCCAGAGGCCCCTGGGACCCGGAGTTTTCTGGGCCCCCCCCTGGGACTTCTGCGTGGCCTCCGGGGACCTCCAGGAGCTGCGTGCCGACTTGCCAGCGCAGCTCCAGGCCCAGACGTCCGAGGCTGTGTTTTGTTTCAATGGATGGCCCCACGCTCTCCTCGGGCGCCGATGTCCGTCCTGGATCCGTGTCTGACGGCCCCAGCAGGGCCCAATGACGGCCTCCGGAGGCCCCACCCTCTTTTTCGGGCGCGGATGTCCGTCCTGGATCCATGTCTGACGGCCCCAGCAGGGCCCGATGACGGTCCCTGGAGGCCGACATCGATCGCGACGCGTGCCGTCGTCACCGCCAGGGCCGTCGGGACCGCCGCTGGCCTTCGGCAGCACGTCCTCTCGCTCGCCGCACCCCTCGCGCTGGGGGCCGGGCGAGGAGGACAGCGACGAGGGGCGAAGGAAGCAGCATGAGCATTAGGAGGACAACGAGGAGGAGGAGGAGGAGGAGGAGGAGGAGGAGGAGGAGGACGGCGAGGAGGAGGATGAGGAGGAGGACCAGTGCAAACCCAGCCGCGCATCAACGTGACGGCTTCGTCCTGACAGTGCTGAATCGTGCCCGGGCGCCATTCCTGGGATTTCGAACATACGAATATCTCAAACAGAGGTAGACTTTTCAAACGAATGTTCACGGCGCAAAGGCGAGAGCCACATGTTGGAAATGAGCAGATCTTTATTTTCAAAACCGTTGCGAACTTTAAAACGAATGTGCACAGAGCGAAGGCGAAAGCCACATGTTGCAAAGGAACCGCCCTCCATCCTTGGTATTGTTGCAATACATAACAACGAATCCGTACGACGCTACGGGGAGAGCCACATTTTGGAAGCCATCCGACTTCCACCCGTGAAACTGCTGCAAGCTTTTAAGACGAATGTGCGCGGCGCTAAGGCAAGAGCCTCATTTTGAAAACGGCCCGCCCTCCATCCATGAAGCTGTTTCAAAGTTTAAGACGAGTGTGCACGGTGCTGACGCGAGAGCCACATTTTGTGAACGACCCGCCCTCCATACGTGCAACTGTTGCGAAGTCCAGGCTGCAGGATGATAAATGGCGAAGAAGTCTAAGGCGAAACGTCCAGCCCGCCCTACGGACACGTCTGGGTGGGCGGCAGGGATGAGTTATGCACAAGGAAACGGGGAAGAGGAGCGGGCGAGGAGGAGGAGGGGGAAGAGGAAAGAAGGAGGAGGAGAAGGCGGAGGAGGAGGAGGACGAGGAGGAGGAGAAGAAGGAAGAGGATGAGGTTGATGATGACGATGATGATGATGCTGCTGATGATGACGATGATGACGATGATGATGCTGATGATGATGCTGATGATGATGATGATCTTAATGATGATAAGTTGGAGGAGAAGGAACAGGATGATGATGATGATGCTCCTGGTGATGATGATGAGGAGGAGGGGGAGGAGGAGGACGAGGAGGAGGAGGAGGAGGAAGAGTTGGAATAGGAGGAGGAAGATGACGATGACGATGATGATGATGATGATGATGATGATGATGATGATGATGATGATGATGAGGAGGAGGAGGAGGAGGAGGAGGAGGAGGAGGAGGAAGAGGAGGAGGCCCTGGAAGTGGCGGGAAGGGCAAGTCGAAGTATCAGTGGGAGGAGGAGGAGGAGGAGGAGGAGGAGGAGGAGGAGGAGGAGGAGGAGGACGAGGTTGAGGAGGAGGAGGAGGAGGAGGAGGAGGAGGAGGGAGTGGCGGAGGTAAGGACCTTAAGTGACATAAACAGGAGGAGGAGAACGAGGAGGAGGAGGATGAGGAGGAGGAGGAGGAGGAGAAGGAGAAGGAGAAACAGGAGGAGGAAGGGGAGGAAGTGTGGTAAAAGAAGGAAAGGAGGAAGGCGAGGAGGAGGAGGAGGAGGAGGATTTCCAGGATTTCCGCCATCACATGGTGATGTAAAGCATGCTAGCTCAGGCTTTGGGAAACAGGTCGCGACATAGCCGATCGAGATACTCGCGCCTAGCCTTGGTGATGAGCTGTGGGCGGCAGGGATTCGCTAACCCTCTGAGCTGGGCTTGGCCGAAGAACCTATAGGAGCCGCAAAACCACGAACCAAGGTCTGAGTGAAATTGCATGGTGTGGGTGGGGTGCGTCGAACCACCAGCCAAGTGAAGGCCGTCCAGGGGGGACTCGGGAAAGCTTACAACTGATGTGCAGCAGGTGGAAGCACTTACTCGCTAACCATGCGGTCTCCTTGTTCTTGGTGGCAGAGCTGCGGCACACGAGACACGACCTGCCATGTTCGGCCAGGGTGTGGGCAGACGCGAAGCGTGCAACAGCTTTTGGGGGGAGGGGGAGAAGGAAACCGAGGACCAGGGGCCTGCGGGGTCCCCTCGCGCTCCTGGGAGGCACACACATGGACGCAAGAGCGACGCGGAGCAGCCTCCTCCTCACCAGACGGGCCTTCCGCTCGATCTTGTGAATTCCGAAGCGCTCGACCTCAGAGACCCGCGCACGCGCGGCGGCCTCTCATGCAAGAGCGTCAACACACGCGTTGCCGTGTGGATCAGCCAAGAGGGCCAACCCTGAGCCACCACGTCCTTGCCCTCGAGGTGGGATGGCATCAAAATCACGGAAACAAGAGACTGGGCGGCGAGCACTCTTTTTACAGAGCGCCAGACTCAGCCACGCGCAGAGGGGGGTGGGGGGAGGGGGCAGGGCTTCTTAGAAGCACCCCTGCTTCTGTAAGGCCGGCGCCGTCTGAGAAGCAGCCTCCTCCTGAGAAGCCCTCCCCCTCCCTCCACCCCCTCCTCCTCCTCCTCCTCCTCCTCCTCTCTTTCTCTTTCTCCTCGTCCTCTTCCTGCTCCTCCTCCTCCTCCTCCTCTTCCTCCTCCTCTTCCTCCTCCTCCTCCTCCTCCTCCTCCTCCTCCTCTTCCTCCTCCTCCTCCTATCCGCTCCCCCTCCCGGATTGCCCCCCTCGTGCGCGCCGCCAACAGACGTCAGCCTGCGGCCCAGCTGGGGCCGAAGAGGCACGATCGCACCAACCTCTGGCAGCCTCCGCAGCCAGTCGCACAGCTGCACGAGCCCGCCCGTCGTGAAGAGCGCAGGGCCCACTTGAGAAGCCGACAGTCCCCCCCGAGGAGGAGGAGGAGGAGCAGGAGGAGGAGGAGGAGGAGGAGGAGGAGGAGGACGAGCAGGAGGAGGAGGAGGAGGAGAGGAGGAGGAGAGAGGGAGGAAGAGGAGGAGGAGGAGGAGGAGGAGGAGGAGGAGGAGGAGGAGGAGGAGGAGGAGGAGGAGGAGGAGGAGGAGGATTATAGGCACCGTTTGGGCTGGACCTGGGCGGGGCCCAGGGCCCCACAGAGGACGGAGCGCAGGAGCGGCAAGCGGCGACAGCCAAGCAGACAAGCCTACTCTTCTCAGCCTCGGGGCGTGGGTACCCTTCCCCTCCGAGGCGCCTCCGAACATGGCGATGGGGTCCTCGGCCGAGCCGCTCCCGAGACAACCAGCACCCAGCGCAGTTCCTGTCGAACCGGACCCTCGGAGGCTGGAGGCGGCTCCGCGGCTGCCCAGGCGGCGGGGATCGCCCCTCGCATCTAGAAGGCGGGGAGAGTGTCTTGCTCGGCGATCGCCCTGGGAATTAACTCATCTGGCTGGACAAAAGCGGGCGAGTTGCGATGTTTCCTGCCTGTCCTACACCTGTGCACGGGGGTGTCGACGGCATCCTGGCAGCGAAGACAGAGGTCGCTGGCGGCGAGCTGGGCCTCGAACTTCCCTTGCAGTGCGATGGTGACCATCAACTCTGAAAGTTGCCGTCCACGACGAGCCTGAAGCAGCGAGTGAATATACTGCCTGTAGCTCTGAAGCTCGGCTCCGTCCTCGTGGCCTACTCCGCAATACAGTACAGATGCTTAAGATAACTGCCACGTGTGAGTCTCGCTTGTCCCGTCACCCGGTACTTGCCATGCTGTAGCTGAGCTCGGCGTCCATCTTGCCTGCCGCAGGTAGAGAATGACCGACGACGTGGGGCCCCGCGCGTGCTTGCTCCTCTGGGCCTCGGGGACGTCCAACAGACTCTGCACGGCAGCAGGCCAGGCTCGAGCGATAGATCCCCGCGAGGCCGGAACACGCAACCACGCTGAAACCATTGCTGGAGGCAACGACGTGGCAAAGCCGTGCCAGGATCCGCTCCTGGCAGGCGACGTGAGAGAAGGGCGCTCAGGCACCTCACCTCCCCCTCGTGCTGGAGAGCCCGCCGCGGCGCCGAGTCGGCGCCCGTGGGCCAGCACGACCGAACCAAATCATCCATGAATACAGTGGAGACCCATGCCAAGAAGCACCCTGCTTGCCTCCAGGGTGCCCTGGGTTTCTTGGGTTTCGATGAATTTGCCATGGAAAGTTTGAAGTTCCCACACCAATAATCAATGACGTCCTGGGGTCTCAGGGTTGAGTTTCTTGTGGAAGGTTTCTTGTGGACTGGCCTCCACTGTATGATGCCCGTGAGCTGCAGCAGCTTGTGGGCCTGCACGTTGGATCTGCGCGGTAGCGTGCCACCGCCTCGCGGCGTGAGCCAAAGCGACGATGGCGAGCACGAGACTGGCCCGCTTCGGCGACGCGCTTCCTCGCCGTGTCCCTGGCTAGCCTGCGCCCGGCCGCTGCCGACGACTCCGAGACATGGCGCCTGCAGCACAGCCCTCACCAGCGCTCCCTCGGACTTGAGCTTCTTGGCGATGTGCTCTGCGCCACGGCGGCTCGCGCAGGTGACCGCGCCCTTCGGCGCGATGTTCAGCTTGAGCCTCTTGAGCTCCCGAACCGTGCTGACGACGGCCTTCGCGAGGGTGCTCCTCACGCGGGCCCTCGAACCTGCAACGCGCTCGGACAAGCCGTCGGCCCGGGTCCGCTGCGACGCCGACGGGCGGGCGACCGAACGCCTCGTGCGCGCGAGGGCCGGCGGGCCCCTGGCTCACGGACCTTTGGAGGCTTGGACAGGCTCGGGCACCGACTCGAGCTGGACCAGCGCCCGAGGGGCAAGAAGCAGCTGGATCTCTAGGGAGAGGGCCGTGGGCGGGAAGCCCCTCCCTGAGGGCGCAGGGAGCGAGCGACATCATGTCGGTCCCGTCGCAGAGATGCTTCCACATCCAAGAGGGCCTGCCAGTGGGGCAGCCGAAGACTGGACCGCACCTCATCCTCCAGCGCCCTGGCGAACGCCTCCCTCAGGGCGCTGTTGCCAGCGATGGCCGCGTCCCCGTAGTCATCCGGATCGACGACCCAGTCGCGAACGAGGTCCTCTCTGGCCATCGACTGTACACGGCAGCACATAGGCAGCAGGCCTATGCAGCGGAGGAGGAATACGAGCATGATGAGCAGCAGGAGGAGAAACCGGACGACGAGGAATAGTGAGGGGTAGGAAGGTAACGATGGCAAGATGCAGGAAGGTGAAGAGAAGGAGGTGCAGCAGCAAGACCAGAAGCAGGGGAGGGGCAAGAGGCTGTTGGAGAGTGTTGGATGGTGCTGGATGGTGTTGGGGGGTTGCAGAGGTTAGAGGTGGTTGAAGGCGTTGGAGAGTTGCTGAAGGTTGGAGTGGTCGGGTGGTTGGAGGGGTTTGGAAGAGCTTTGCAGGGGTTGTCGGGGGTTGGAGGGATTAGAGGGCGTTGGAAGGGGTTGGAGGGGGTTGGAGGGGTTTGAGGAAGTGCTTGAGAGGGTTGCAAGGGTTGCAGGGTGGTTGGAGTGATTTGAAGGGGGCTTGGAGGAGGGTTGACAGCGGTTGGCGGGTTGGCGGCGATTCGAGGCGGAGGCGGTCGGAGGCGGTCGGAGGGGTTCGAGGGTTGGAGGGGCTGGAGGAGTTAGAGGTCGGAGGGGGTTGGAAGGGGGGCTGTGGGAGGGGGTATGGAAGGGGGTTGAAGGGGTCCTCCCCCTGGATCAACCCATGGTTTATCAACAGGAGGTGCTGGCTGCACGTGGGGAATGGAGTCATGAGGATGCAGGGGGAGGTTGAAGTTTGGTAAAAGGGGGAGCAAGCCTCCGTCTACACAGAAATCTGGAGATCAAATGTTTGCCAGTGTAGACCCCTAAACAGTGAATCACTGGGTGCGTACGCTATGTGGTGCAAGCTATGCGGTGCAGGCCATGCGCCGCTAGGTATTTCGTCCAAGCTAGGTGGTGCAGGCGATGTGTGGCAAGCTATGTGGTGCAGACCATGATGTGCGAGCTTCGCTGTGTCGAGAAGCCGATGGCCACGCGGCGAACACGGGGTGCAGGCACTGCGTTTGACATGAGATAGATGCCAGTGTTCGCCCGATCTCTTCGGTGCGATTCGAATGATCCGATCGATTGGTCTGCGGCCCTCTTAAAAACAGTGATATCGCCTGCACGATCCTTGATACACTATGTTAGCGGGTAGTGCTTATTCGCTGAATGCTCAAGCCTCTGAGCTGAATTGAAAGGTGCCCTGAGCCCTTGGCAGCCATGCGAGGTGTCGTTGCCCTCCTTGCTGCTCCCCAGCTAGTTGTGTGCAGTCAGCCCTCGTTCCTGTTCCTGCTCGCAGACGACATCGGCTGGGCCGACTTCGGCTACAACAACGGCACTGCGCTGACACCAAACATCGACGGTTGGGGCAAGCGTGCTGGCTCCATCATCATGCAAGATGGGCACAGCGGTGGCACGGTGTGCTCCCCAACGCGCGCCACGATTCTGACGGGACGCAACCATTTTCGTGATTGCGTAGACTTCGTCTTCGACTGTAGTGACATGACCGAGTGCGCGCCCACGATGCCTTTTGCTCAGCAGAGAACCTTCACTTTCCCCGACGCGGCGCGGAAGTCAAAGAAGGGCTATGAGTCATGGTTCGGTGGAAAATGGCATCTGGGCTCCTTCTACAACGACAGTAAGGTGCCCAGCGGACCGCTGTTTCATGGCTTCGACCGCATGAATGCCACAGTGGAGGTGGCTCCCACAGCCACGGCGAACTGTGGCTGCAACGGCGAGTGGGAGCAGACGTGCAACTTTGGCCACTACGGGGGGCACAACCACTGCGCTGGCGGCCCAGGACCAGGCGGCCCCAGCGTGCCCAACGGCTGCTGCTTCAACTACTGGTGGGAGGATCCCGAGTCGCCCCACGGCGTCACAAATCTCACGAACCCCTCCTACGACGACGACTCCCAGTACCTGGCCGAGGCTTTCGAGGTCTTCCTGGACGCCCGCGAGGGCAGGCCGTTCGCCGCGCAGCTCTCTTTCCACAACTGCCACATCCCCTTCATCGGCACGGCGGCCGCGCGCCAGAAGTGCAGAGAGGGCCAGACGTGCAAGGCCACGAACGGCCGTGGGGATGCTCCCGGCAACTTCACCGACTACGAGCTCGACTTCTACGCCTGCCTGAGCGAGCTGGACGCCTCAGTGGGTCGTGTGCTCCGGGCCCTGGAGGACCGCGGCTACTATGAGAACACCTTTGTGTGGTTCACCACGGACAATGGGCCCGAGGTGAACTGCCCGCCCGAGGGCTACTGCGAGGACAGCCACTATGCCAGAGCTCCTGGTGATGCCGGCCCGCTTCGCGGCCGCAAGCGCGACATTTGGGAGGGTGGCCACCGTGTGCCTACCATCGTGTCCTGGCCGGCGATGCAGCGCGGTCCTGCCAGGGTGTCCTGGGAGACCGTGGTGACCATGGATTTCCTTGCGACGGTCATGGACGTGCTGAACGTGGAGCGGCCCGAGAGCCAGTCATCCTGGGCCCTTGACGGCAAGAGCATCGTGCCCATCCTGAAGGGGGAAACTTGGCCAGATCGAGGCATTGGCTGGGTCTTCGACAATTGGTCCTCGAGCAGCCCCCACGGCTTCCGCTACGGCAAGTGGAAATTTGTGCACGACTCTACAAGCTGCAATAACGACGATTGCAGGAAAGACATGCTGTTTGACTTGGAGGCTGACCTTAGCGAGTCCACGGACCTGAGCGACGTTCACCCCCACGTGCTGGCTGCCATCCAGGCAAATTTTACCTCTTGGTTTGACTCGGTGTCCAAATCCCGAAGCGATGAGTCTCTCTGTGACCCGACGCCCGCACCATCACCCGCTCCACCTAGCGACGCTTGCGAGTGGCATTCTGATACAGGCCTGCAAGGCTCGGACATGGAGACTGTGATAGTCAAGAGCAAGGAGGCGTGCTGTGGTCTCTGCCACGCAACCCCAGGCTGCGCAGCTGCCGACTTTGACAGCGTCTCTAAGGTTCGTCTGGGTCCTCCCAGCCGCAAGGGCGTGTTCCTGGAGACCCTCGAGGAAGACTCACATCCGCTGGCAGGCTACAGGTGCCATTTGAAGACGAGCTTCCGCCTCAGAGAGCGCAGGGATGGCTCCATTGCATGTGTGCCGCAGAGCTACGCCTTGACGGTGTGAAAGACCGTCGTTCTTTTTGCCGCCAACGCCTGAGCACATCGTGGAGATGCCTCGAGCGAGAGCGGCGGTGAGCACGGAGGAGGCAGGATGGGGCCGGAGAGAGGGAGGAGGAAACAGTAATGATGGACGTCGGGGGGCGAGATCAGGCCCAATCTATTGAATGTATGGTCAGGGCGCCCTCGGCGAGGATGCGTCCTGGAAGCGGCACGGAGGGTGCAACGGCATCCCGGCATGTCGGAGGACGCGGAGGCGAGGATGGACGAAGAGGAGAAGGAGAAGGAGGAAGAGGAACATGACGGGGAGGACGAGGAGAAGGGGGAGGAGGAGGAGGAGGAGGAGAAGTAACGCGAGGATGAGGATGATGAGGAGCATTGCGAGGATGATGGGGAAGAGCAGTAGCTGGAGGATGAAGAGCAGCACTGCGAAGAGGAGGAGGAGGAGGAGGACGCTGAACACGAGGAGGAGCACGATGAAGACAAGGAGGAGCACACCGAGCAGGAGGATGATGTTGAGGAGGAGGAGCAGCAGGAGGAGGAAACATAGCAGGAGGAGTGCGATGAGGAGGCAGAGGATGAGGATGAGGAAGAGGAGGAGGGAAACGTCGAAGAAGAATAGCACTAGGAGGATGAGGAGGATTCGTGTAGGGGTGCAGGAGGAGTGAGATGAGGAGGTATAGATGCAGGAAGAGAAGGAGTGGGGGGAGGACCAGGATGATCAGGATGAGGAGGAGGAGGAGGAGGAGGAGGAGGAGGAGGAGGAGGAGCGAGAGAAAGAGAGGAGGGATGAGGGTGATGATGAGGAGGAGGTGTAGTGGAAGGGGGTAGGGCAAGGGCGAGAAGGATAATGACATGGATGCGGAGGAGGACGACGACGACGATCACGAACAACTCGACGACGATGCCGAAAGCGCAGGCGGATCAGGAGCAGGAGGACGCGCGAACACTCTGAGGATCTACCTGGTTTAAGAAATACTGTTTGGTGATGCTGGGCTCTGGCTATCATTTTAGACACCGTGTGTGTGGTGTGTGTGTGTGAGTGTGTGTGTGTGTGTGTGTGTGTGTGCGCGCGCGCGCGTGTGTGTGTGTGTGTGTGTGTTTGTGTGTGTATGCGTGTGTATGTGTGTGTGTGTGTGTGTGTGTGTGCGTGTGTGTGTGTGTGCGTGTGTGTGTGTGGGGGGGGGGGGGGGGCAACCCTCACCCCTTTCCCGAAACCGGACCCTGAGATTTAGGGCTTTGGGGCCCCCTGGACGCTCTGTGAAGAGGTCCCCTGGCCTTTCCGGGCCTCCAAGGGCGCCTTGCTGGGCCTTGCCAGCAGACCCAAAGCGATCAGAGAAGTGGCCAGGGAGACGCCAGAAAGCCACAAGACAGCGCAAGAGCGCTCGAAGAGTGACCCAGATGGCTTCGCGATGGCCCCAGAGGCCCCCAAGACTCCGCAAGAGGCCCTCAAGAGGACCTTGAGTGGCAAAAGTCGTCCCATTCGTCTTGTTGGGGGAAGCGTGCATCTTTTAGCATATTCGTGACCTCGACCTCGCCACCGCCTCCAAGATGGCCCAAGAGGATCCCCAGATCGCCCCAAGGACGGCCAGAGAGGCCCCCGAAAGGGGCCCCAAGGCGGCCCAACAGGGCCCGCCCCACGAGTGCCCGCGAGCCCAAGGGAGCCCCACGACGACTCAAAAGGGGCCTGAGAGGATCCCAAAAGGCTCCCAAGAGAGGAGGAGGAGGAGGAGGAGGAGGAGGAGGAGCACGAGGGAGGAGGAGGGAGGAGGAGGAGGAGGAGGAGGAGGAGGGAGGAGGAGGAGGAGGAGGATGAGGAGGAGGAGGAGGAGGATGAGGAGGAGGAGGAGGAAGAGGAGGGAGAAGGACGGCCCAAGATGGCCTCGGCCCTCCAGGGCCCACGCCCCCCCCAAAAGCCCCAGAGGGCCCCAGAACGACCCAAGAGAGCCCCAACTTGCCCAAGAGGGCCCCTAAAGGACCCCCAAGAAGGCTTGACTGGCAAAATGTTAGGGACTTTCGCCTCGCAAGGCGCTCTAAAATTGTGACCCGGTCGTTGAGGGGACCCGTGGCTCGCGGCAAAGAGGCCCGAGGAAGCCCACAGGAATGACCCCCCGAGAAGCCGCTTCGCCTCCACTCGAAAGGTTCGTGTCGTGTCGACGCGGCGGCGACCCAGGCGCGGGGTTTCGATATGAGCGCCGCCAGTGGCCAGAACACGGCCAGCCCTGAGCAGTCTGCGCTGTCGGAGCGCCGCGATCGCTCAAGGCCGTCACGACACAAGCCGTCACGGGGCCGAAGGAGGAGGTCCACGATTTAGGCTCCTGGTTTGGCCCCCGTTGTTTCATGCTGTGTTCCGCTCTTTCGGAGCCTCCTGTGGGGACCCATACCAAGAAACACCGAAACACCCTGCTTGTCTCCAGGGTGCCCTGGGTTTCTTGGGTTTCGATGGTTTTGCCGCGGAGAGCTTGCCGCGGAGAGCGTGACGCTCCCACTCCAGAAATCAATGGACGTCCTGGGGCCTCAGGGGTTGGGTTTCTTGTGGAAGGTTTCTTGTAGTCGGGCCCCTACTGTACAGTGGTGTTCTCGTCGCCACGTGGCCGGGTCCGCCTCGAAAGTCGGCGCCAAGCGCGACTGAAGAGAAATCTGAGGGCGCTCTTTCAGAGCGCAACGCCCAAGCTTGTAAGGCGAGGGAGAGAGAGAGAGCAAGGACTGAACGGGGGCGAGACTTGAGGGGAGCCGGCCGCAGTTCAAGGGGCAACCAAGATGACGCGAGGGGCCAACATTTGCGAAGCTTCAAGGACCAAGATGCATGGTGCGAAGCGCCAATGCAGTCTTGTATAGCCATACACATATACCTGCCTACCTACCTACCTTGCTACCTTGCTACCTACCTACCTACATGCATACATACATACCTACATACATGCACATATACATACACACATGCACACATGCACACATACATACATACATACATACATACATACATACATACAGATACATATACATATACATGTACATATACATATGCATATACATATACACATACAGATACATAAACATGTACATATACATATACATATACATACATACATACATCCATACATACATACATACACACCTATGTATACATACATACATGCATACACTCATGCATACATACATACATATATACATGCATACAAATATACGTACGTACATACATACATACACATATACATACATGCAAACACACATGCATACACACATGCATACACGCATGCGTACACATACATAAATATATTTATACATACATACGTACATCCACACATGCATGCATGCATTCATGCATGCATGCATACATGTGTGCATACATATCGATATGTACACATAGATATATATACATACAAACAAACAAACAAACATACATACATACATACGTACGTACATCCACACATACATACATGCATGCATGCTTGCATACATACTTACATACATACATACACATGTATGCATGCACACATACGTACGTACGTACGTACGTACCAACGTACATACCGACATACACGTATATATACACATACGTGCATACATACATGCATACCTACCAGCATACCCACACCTGCATACACATACACGTACATGCATGCAGGCATGTTTACATGCATGCAACCATACAGACACGCATGCACGCACATACATATACATACATACATACATACATACACACACATACATACATACATACATACATACATACATACATACATACATATTTACATACATACATACATACATACATACATACATACATACATACACACATACTTACACTCATACGTATTCACATTGAAATGTACACATGTACACATATGCGCATATACGTCACATAACACACAAACAAACATCCATACCTACATACACATATATGCATATATATACATATGTATATATATATATATATAGATAATAATATGTCCGTAAGGGCTTCGCCCCCTGCCGCCGGCCCCCTCTCTCGGATAATGGGCAATGCAATAGCGAAATCATGAGGCCTTGGCGCCGCCGTGAAGCAGCGTCGGAACTTCACGCGAAGACGATGAGTAATCTGCAAGACAAATTGAGATTATGATGATATTGTTCAAGTCGGTATTGTGTTTCGAAGGTTTATGGTTTCGGATACGCGAATAGTGCGTAATTTATGAGGGTTTATCGCCTCGGGGTCGCAGATATCCGGAGACGCGAATACTGCTTACTTTACAAGGGTTCATGGCCTCGGACACGCGACTATTCCATAAATTCTAGACGCTTCGCGTAACCCCACCAGCCCATCCAGAAACGATGCCCAGAGGAATTGCCTCGATCAGGGAAGTGGACAGCACACAGAGAAAATACGAACATAAGAGCCTCGTGGGATGCCTCTTGGGATTGTTTTGGAGGCCTCTTGGAGCATCTGGAGGGCATCTTGAGGAGGAGGAGGAGGGCGAGCAAAAAGGCCAGAGGTCGCTTGAATGACTTTCGGAGCCTCTTGGGATATCTCTTGGGCGCTTCTTGGAGGCATCTTGGGACGTCTGGGGGTTCTCTTGGCGGTCCTGGGGGGCTCTTGGGCGTCTTGAGTGCCTCGGGGGGGGGGCCTCTTGGGGACGCTTAGGGCCCTCTTGGGGGCCTCTTGAGGGCCTCTTGGGGCCATCTTGGGGCCATCTTGGAGCCATCTTGGCGCCACTTGGGGCCTCCTGGGTGCCTCTTGGGGCCATCTTGGAGGAGATCGATCAAAGAAGAGGGGTTCCCTAATTCGCGCCCCCCCTCGGGAACCTCCAGAATCGCCTCCTGGACCCCTCTTGGGGCGCTCTTGGAGCGCTCTTGGGCGCTCTTGGGGTCGTCTTGGGGCTCTCTTGGGCCCCTGTTGGGGCTCTCTTGGGCCCTCTTGGAGCCATCTGGAGGCCTCGGATGGCCATCGGAAGCGAAAAAGCGAGAAGGCAAAACTCATTGGTTTTCCCTAGGTTGTTGAAGGATTTTGGCCTCTTGGGAGGCCTCCTTGGGAGGCTCCGTGGCCACTTGGAGTTGTCTTGGGGCGGTCTTGGGGCCTCTTGGAGCATCTTGGGAGCCATCTTGGGGTATCTTGGGCCATCTTAGAGCTCATCTTGGGCTCTCTGAGGCCCTCTTGGAACCATCTTGAGCCATCTTGACGCTCTAACTACCAGCGGCCCCCCCCGTCCAAGTCCAGGGGAGGGGGTTAGGGGGAGGGGTAAACCCCTCCCCGAAGGGGAAGAAGGAGGTTGGAAGAGGAAGCTCCTTAAACCACCTACGCCCACAGGGCTGGTGGGATTACGATGGTTTATTGCCTCGTGGGCGCAAATATTGCGTCATTTACGCAGGTTTATGTTTTCGGAGACGCGAATCTTGCGTAATTCAAAAAAAGTGTATGGCTTCGGGGACGCGAATATTGTATGATTTGCGAGCGCTTGTGGCCTCGGGGACGTAAACATTGCGTAACTTACGACGATTTATGGCTTCGGGGACACGAATACAATGTATTTTGCGAGGGTTTATGGCTTCGGGGACGCGAATACCGCGTGATTCACGAAGGTTTATGGCCTCGCGGACGCGAGCATCGCGTAATTTACGAGGGTTTATGGCCTCGGGGGCGCGAACTTCATGTATTTTTAAGAGTCCCACGCCCCTCCCCGGAATTCAGAGCATGCGATTCGGGCGTGGTAACTGGGTTCCTTCTCGGCTCCTCCCCCCTCGCGCGGTCCATCAACAAGGAACAGTAAGCAGCAAGAAGCATAACTGTAACAGTGGGAGCCGGAAACTGGAACTGGCGCAGGGAACAGCAAACCCTCAGGGAACAGCAAACCCTCAGCCTACAGCTTGGAGGCCCCACAAAGGGGCCGGCGGATCTACACACGTACACACACAAACGCACTTACACAAACACATACACACGAGCAGACATACATGCATGCATACGTACACACACGCGTAGCATACATGCACGCTTACATGCATGCGTACACGCAAGCATGCCTCCATACATCCCACATACATAGCTACACATATGCTCTAGGTCTCCGTAGCCACTTGGCTCAAGCTGTTGCCGCTCGGGCTCCACCCGGCTCTCCTCCGCTCGTGCCGCCGGCCGCCCCGCTCTCTCGCCCCCCCCCCACGCGCCGGGCCGCCGAGGCCCGCTCGCTCCCGGGCCCCCATGGGCGGTGGGGCAAGTGCGGCAAAGGGCGGCGAGAGGGAGGTCGTGGCCGAGAGCGTCAGAGGCAGCGCTCCGGCCGCCGCCCCCGGGCCGGAGGGCGCGGATGGCAAGCCACTCGTCCTGGAGTCGTCCCTCATCTTCGACGACGCCACCATGAAGAGGTACGTCCCGGCGCCGGTCTTCCAGCGGTTCCTCAAGGACATCGTGTCCGGTGATCCCACCAGCGAGGAGGACCAGAAGGCCATCGCGGATGGCATGTTCAGGTGGGCGCGGGAGAAAGGCTGCACCGACTTTGCCCACTGGTTCTTCCCGGTCCGCGGCGGCAGCGGTGCCGTGGGCGGTGCCGTCGGCGCCCTCAAGATGGACACCCTGGTCGACCTCGACTTCAAGTCGGGGAGCGCGATCAAGCCCTTCTTCGCGACGCTCCCGCACGAGCGCCTGTTCCAGGGCGAGACGGACGGCTCCTCGTTCCCCAACGGCGGCCTGCGAGTGACCCACTCCGCCGCCGCCTTCACGGTGTGGGACCGGACGTCGCCCCCGATCATCTCGGGCACTACGCTCCGCATCCCGTGTTCCTTCCTGACGCATTTCGGGAAGAGCATCGACGACAAGACGCCGCTCCTACGCTCGCAGGATGCCGTTAGCGCCCAGGGGATGCGCCTGCTCAGGGCCCTGGGGCTTGCGTCCGATGCCAAGTGTCTGCGCTCTTACCTTGGTTGGGAGCAGGAGTTCTTCGTGGTCTCTGCCGACCTGTACAAGAAGCGTCCGGACCTCGTCAACACTGGCCGCACGCTGTTCGGTAAGCTGCCCACCCGCGGCCAGCAGATGGATCTCAACTACTTCGCCCCCGTCCCCGAGGTCGTCGACAAGATGATGGCGGAGATTCAGCAGGAGATGCTGAGAACGGGCACCCCGATGGCGGTCCGTCATAACGAGGTGGCGCCAGGGCAACACGAGATGTCACCGATCTTCGGATTGGCCAACTGGTCTGCTGACAACAACGTGTACTTCATGGAGGCTTGTAACAGGATTGCGTCCAAGTACGGTCTGATGGTGCTATTTCACGAGAAGCCGTTCGCTGGCATAAACGGCAGCGGCAAGCACGCGAATTGGTCTGTCGGCACCGACACGGGCATTAATTTCTTCTACCCAGGCAAGACAGACGAAGCGCGAACCATCTACACTGCGGCCCTGGCCTGCCTCTCCCACGGGATCATGCAGTACAACGAGATGTTGCGATGTGCCGTGGCACACGCAGGCAACGACCATCGCCTCGGAGCCCAGGAGGCGCCCCCGGCCATCATCTCGCTCTACCCTGGCACTGGCTTCGAGGCGCACGTGGACGCGGTTATCAATGGAGGCCCCCTGAATGAGTTCAAGGCCGAGAAGAAGCAGCAACCCACCGGCTGCAAGGCGTCTATGGCGGTCGAGTCCAACGTCGAGGACCGCAACCGCACGGCGCCCTTTCCCTTCTGCGGCAACCGCTACGAGTTCCGCGCAGTCGGTTCCTCGCAGAACTGCTCTTTTCCGGTGATGGTCTGCAACACGATAATGGCCGCGGGCATGAGTGCGCTCTCCGAGAAGATCGAGGGCGGCATGAAGGCGCGTGATGCCGTGGCCGAGATGTACAAGGAGAATCGCGACGTCATCTTCACGGGCAACGGCTACTCCGCCGAGTGGCCAGCCGAGGCGGCCACGCGCGGTCTCCCCAACCTCAACACGACACCGAAGGCCATCAAGCATTGGGCCTCGAACAAAAACATCGAGCTCTTCGAGAAGATGGGCGTCTTCTCCAAGGAGGAGACCGAATCCAGGGTTGAGGTCATGTACGAGGCCTACAATACGACACTCAGCGTCGAGGTCAGCACCATGGTCGATATGGTCAAAACTGGATTCATTCCGGCTTTTGCACAGGACTTAGCCTTGTACAAGGACGCCCCCGACCTATTGGGCGATCGCAAGAAGTTGTACGGTTCGGTGAAGGCCGAAACGGAGGAGTTGGAGAAGATGATGGGTGAGGTTCCTCACGATCAGGCTGCAGAGGCCGAGTACCTGTGCGACAAGGTTAAGGCTCAGATGGCCAAGGTGCGTTCGTTGGTCGACGATGCCGAGGGCATGCTGGATAAGAGGCTCTATCCGTATCCGACCTACGAGTCCATGCTGTACCACCACCACCACTGAGTTCGAGTCGCAGCCTCTGCAAGTCTGCGTGCCAGCCCCCCCCCTTGCAGATGATGTGCCCCGCCGCTCATCTCTGTGTCTCGTCCCCGCCATGCTTTCCACACCCCCCACCCTCCCTGCAGTGCTGGCCATGTTTGTTGTCCTGGTGGAGCCAGGACTCCCAAGAAGGGATTCCAGGCTGGCCCTCTGCCGTGACGGGTTTTTCAGAGTTTGGGTGCCTCGGTGGAGCCGAGAGCCCGCGGCCGAGCCCGGGGGCTCTTCGCAGAAGCTGGCCCCCGCTGCTGCTCGCCGCGCCCCCGATCCAGCACGCACTGAGGCCAGCCTAGAGGGTTGACCAGATGCAGTACACCTTAGGCGATGCTTAAAAAAACTTAAGTTTTCGGCCAGAGTCTCGATTATTCTTAACGCTTCAATGTAAATCCTAAGATTTTGATGGAAACGTGGGGTTTTTATTCAAGTTCTGAGACCATGAATTTCTTAACCCATGATCTCTTAACCATCTCGCGTGGTGTATCGCTGAACCTGCCCTTGCCCACAAGTGTGCTCCATGGCTCACTGCTCGCTCCAGCGGCAAGCGCTGGAGCAGCGCCGTGCAGCGTCGAGCGCTGCGCGCCTGGATGGGCCAACTCAAAATGTCCAGACAACCATAAAACCGCTCCAAGGCTCCCACCGGCCTCGAGACCCCCAAGAACCCTACAAAGAAGCGTCCAAAGGTCCCAAGAAGCTCCGAGGAGGTCACCATGAGTCCCCCAAGGGGACCCCGAGAAAATGCGAGGTAACGACAATGCCTGGATGACCTCAGCTGCCCGTCCTGGGGACAGCGCGTGTGGCCGCCAATTCGTTCGTGCTCGCCCGATAAGAAGTCGGGCCCGTGCGTCCGAACACAGGCGGAGGGCGTAGAGCGCCGCTCTTCGTTTTGGCTTGGCGTATTTCCGTGGTCCCGGCGCCGCACGCGCGCAGAAGTGTGCAAGAGGCGGTCTGCATTGATTGTCGAAGTCATGCTCTGTGCGTCACCCTTGCGTGCACGAAGTGTAGCCAAATGGGTGCGGAGCATCCTAGCTTCGACGGAGGCGGCCGCACGCGGATATATGGTCTAGGTCTGGCTCCCCCCTCCCCTCCTCATGCTGATGCCATCGGCCCCCCCCCGCGCGATGGTCCCCTCCCACCCCCTGTGGGTGTGGGTGCGCTGTGGGTGTGGCGTGTGTGGTGTGGTACTGTGGTGCTCCAGGAGAGCTCTGGAGGTCGTCGTCGTCGCCGCCGCCGCCGTCGTCGTCATCGGAGGGCTGCGGAGGTTGGCGGCGGCGCCGCCGCCGCCGTCGTCGCCGTCGTCGTCGTCGTCGCAGTCGTCGTCGTCGTCGTCGCCGCAGTTGTCGTCGTCGTCGTCGTCGTCGCCGTCGTCATCGTCGCCGTCGTCGTCGTCGTCGTCGCCGTCGTCGTCGTCGTCGTCGTCGTCGTCGTCGCCGCCGCCGCCGCCGTCGTCGTCGCCCCTCCCATCCCATCAGGGGGGGGAGGTGCGTAGAGCCCTGGGACCCATCCCATCTTGGGCGGGGGGGGGGCCGTGGGCCCGGAGCTCGGGATCATACATACATACATGCATACATGCATACATACATACACAGATGCTGCGTGTCGCGTGCTGATGATTGAATCGAGCCGAAGGTTATCTTGAAGGCTTGCCAGGCCGTCTTGAGGGCCCCCTGAGAATATGCCGGGGGGCGACTTCTGGGATTCTCTTGGGAGCGTTCTGGGGCCCTTTTGGGCAGTAGTCTTGAGGCTCTTCAAGGGCGACTTCAAGACATCGTCGGATCAGGTCCGCGACCCTTTTGACTCATGCCACTTCGGCTCAGTTCGTGTTCCCTTACATAAATGGTCTAAATACACCTCCGTGCGTCAGACGCTGAATGGAGATACCTTCTCTTGGGCACGCCCTTGTTGTCGTGCTACTGGCGTGTACCATCGATGGGGCCGATATTGCCATGCTCGGCGCAGCCTTCAAGATCTTCGAGGAGCAGTTGGGCACGAGCCCAAGCATACTGGGCCAGGTGGCCTTGGCCCAATTCACGGGAATGGCTGCCATGGCGCCCGTGTGGGGCTAGATTTGCGACACGCGCTTCGCTTCTAGGCGTCTGCTCTGGACAGCCTGCCTCACTGGGTGGGCCTTCGCCATGGCTGCCCTGGCGGCAGCGTCTTCTGTGCGGTTGATCCTGTTGATAAGGTTTGTCAATGGCGTCTTCCTTGCGTGCCTGGCGCCACTGACGCAGAGCCGGGCGGCCGAGGCAGTTCCGCTGGCCGTGAGCGGACGGGTGTTTGGCTTCATGGGCGCCGCTGGCGTCGTTGGCTCAACTGCAACGACAATGCAATGCTTGTCACCAGCATTGGAAGCAGCACCTTCGTGGTTGGTGGTGCCGCCGTCAGCGGCTGGAGGCTAATTATTGACGTTTCGCGTATCCCCACCAGTCCCGCACAACCCCTCCCTCGTCCTCGGCTCTGTGCGAATTGCTTCCATGACATGTTTCATTGCGGCTGTTGGCTGCACCCCCCCCTCCAACCGACACATGTTTTCATTGCGGCCCTTGGCTGCACCCCCCCCTCCACCGCGTGGTCAGATTCAGCCCTGGCTGCGTTCCAGCGCTCCATGAGGTGGTCGCGGCAGCTGCGAATCTCGGCGACAATCGTGACCGGTACCTGCGAGGTTGCAGTATACCGGCCCTTGGGCCAGCGTGTCCTCTCTCATCGTTGCAGCCCCGGCCAGTCGCTGGTTTCGGATACGATGAACGACACACCGGCCCCCCCCCGGGCAGCGGTGCGGTCCGTGGAGTGAGTGCTCTGTAGGTACCTGCCGTTCCCCTGCCCTCTCCGTGGTCAGATTCAGCCCTGACTGCGCTCCAGCGCCTATGAGCTGGTCGCGGCTGCAGCGTACCTCGGCGACCTTCGGCCGATACCCGCTAGGCGGCAGTGTATTGGCTCTTGGGCCCGCGTGTCCTCTTTCATCGTTGCTTCCTGGCCTGTCACTGGTTTCGGAAACGATGACTGACACACCGGCCCCCCCCCGGGCAGCGGTGTGGATCGTCGAGCGAGTGCTCTGTAGGTCCCTGCCGTTCCTCTGCCCCTGTCTTAGCCGGCCCCGCGCACGGCGGTGGCACGGACTTCGCGCTGAGTGGTTCAGCCTTCAGCGTTGTCGCTTCGGTTCTACCTGCCCGCTTTCGGCTAGGAGAGCTGCTCGGAGCTTGGCGCCGACAGGGCGACTTCTCCGTTGCACTCGCACTGCGGTCTGCTTCACTTCGGTGTGGCTGGCGCCTATGTGCGTTCGCCTCAATGCGGAGCATTTTGCTCAGTGCATGTGCACACCGCGCATTCGTGCTAATTCGCCTAGTTCGCGTCCCGGACTTTGCTCTCGCCGCCTGACCGTCGTCTCGCGGCCGCGACCGAAAAAAACTGTGCCCACCAGCTTTGTGACCACCGGCTTCCGCTCGTAGCACGACCTCTCCGACGCCGCGCGGGTGCCCGCTCGCGGTCGCGATCAAAAAGTATCCCCACCAGCCCATCCAGAAACAGATCGCCGAGTTGCCTAGACCAGGGAAGTGTAGAAGCATGCAGTGCAACAGCCGCCTTGGAAGTGTTTTCTCGGAGGTCTCTTGGAGCCATCTTGGGTCTCTCTTAGAGTCCTCGCGGAGCCACGTGGGGCACTCTTGGGGCCCTCTTGGGGCTTTTTTGGTGGTGTAGGGGCCCTCTTGGGGCTCTTGCGGGGGGTCTGGGGGGCCTTTTCGGGCCTCTTGGGTCTGAGAGGGGTAACGGATTCAGGCCCCCCCTCGGAGGCTCAACGATGTCATCTTGAGGCCCCCTGGAACCGTTCTTGGTACGCTCTTGGGACCGTCTTGGAACCCTGTTGGGGTTACCTTTGGCCATCTTGGGGTCATGTTTGGGCCTCTGAGGTCCATCGGAAGCGATCAGACGAGAAGGCAAACATCATAATACAACCATCAATGTTCCGTAGGTTTTGGAACCATTGGCCTCTTGGGGAGGTCGTTGGAGGGTTCGGGGGACACTTGAAACCATCTCGGGGCCATCCTGAGGCCTCTTGAATTGTGCGTCGGCGGCTATCTTGCGCCATCTTGAGTTCCCTGCCAGGTCCAGGGGAGAGGGTCTGAGGAGGGGTCGAGGCCCCCCCTTTGCCCGTCAAGCGTCTCGCTCATTCCCACCCAACCTCCCAACACAGAAGTAACACCCGAGAGAATTTCAGCACATTGCTTATGAGCGCCACGTATGCCATGTGCGCCACGGGTTCTAGGGACACCAGGCACCCTGGAGGCCCAAGCGAGCCAGGGGGGCCAGGTGCGACACGTGCTCCACGTTGACACAACATGCCGGCACCCCCGCCGCCCGTGTCAAGAGCCAACGCAAAGGGCTCGCGGGGCGCCCGCGCATGCTCCAGATGTGAAGGCAAAACGCATGCTGTACAGGATCCGGCTTGAATAAGGAACCCTTACTTTACAAAAGGGGTTCGGTCGGTCGTTTGATTTGCATGCGTTCCGCTACCTTTTTGGCGGCGAGCCCCCTTGGTGCCCCCTCAGTTTCTGGACGCGTGGGTCCGTTCTTTCGGACTTCGTAGATTTACTTGGAACAACATGGGCTTCGTTCCTTATTTGTCTCTCCTGAGGTAAGGCCGAATCCTGTATTTTTTTTGACAGGGATGGTTGGCCTGCGCGCAGCGAGCTATAGTACGGCACCCCCGCCGTCCCTGTCAAGAACCGATGCAGGGTGCCGGCGGGGCGCCCGCGCGTGCTCCAGACTTGGAGGCAACGTGCATGCTGTATGGTTTTTGTTGGTCCGCATGGCGGGGGGGGGGGTCGCATGTCCCGGGTTGGCCCGCAGTCGGGTGGGTCGGGAGCCCCGGGACGGGGGTCAGTGCAGACGGCGGTCAGCCAGAGCGCCCGATCTTGCAGGATCCTGCAGGGCCAGGGTCGCATTGACCCAGGCTTGGGTGCAGGGTCTTGCAGGATCCTTCGCATTGACCCGGGCTCGGGTCCAGGATCTTGCAGGATTCTGCAAGGCCTGACCGACCCGGGTCTGGATTGACCCAGCTCAGAAGGACCCCGAGTGGGGGAGGGGGTGAAGATTAATACGGAGCAGTGACAAACCCTTTCCCCGAGCAGAGAGAAGACAGAACTCGTTCAACCACCTACGCCCGGATGGGGCTGGTGGGACTTGCGCGGTGGTCTCCGCTCTCGGCGTGGGTGTCGCGGTCGCCGCGTGCTTCATCGTGGACGGGGACGGGGAAGGCGAACGTGCGCGCGAGATTCTCTGCGCAACGCTTACGGAGAGATTGCATGCAGCTTGCGAGAGCATGAGAACATCTCCTCCTTCCGAATGATCGTCTACCAGGGCGTCACTGGCGGCATCCCGTGGTCAACCCTAGCGTTCAAGATCATGTTCTTTCCATACGTGGGCCTTTCCAGTGGGCAGATCCCCAAGTACAGCGCCGCCGCTGTCGCTCCCAAGTTTCTGGGCGGCATGGTGGGCGGATTCGTGGGGGACAGGGCCGCGCAGGCTTCTCCACGGCACGGCCGGGCGCTGGTGGGGCAGATCGCCGTGGAACGTCGTCCTCCCAGAGCTGATCGGGACCATGTTGTGGTCTTACGTCTTGTGCAATTGTCTCTTCTGCCTGGTGGCCGGCTGGGCTCTTGCTGGTGAC